GCGCGCACCGCCCCCGCCCGCCCGGCCCGCCGCCGCCTGGGCCCCCGCCTCCCGGGCGGATCAGGTTCCCGCACCGACGCCCGGCCTCCCCACTCCACTCGCACTGGCTGCTCTGCCCGCCTATCAAGCGGGCTTGGGGGGGCTGGGGCCCAAGCGGCTGCCGAGGGCCCGCGGAGTCCCGACACACGACCCAAGAGCCCCCTCTTCTCCCTGCGCCCCGGGGACTGCGACTGCAGAGAGTTGGCCCCTCCCCCTGGACGCCCGCTGAGGCCAGATGTGGGCGGATGTGGAGAACGGGCCGCAGCTTGAAGGCGGGCGCCTATGGGGGACCAGATTCCCTCCTTCACAGGGCATTGGGTTCCTTCAGCGGGATGTTTTATTTTTTTATTTACGCAGCCAAAGTTTTGTAGAGCCTGTCTCTTGCGCTTAGAGCCTGCAAGGGTTATGGGTGGGTGCAGTCTTCGCCTGAGGACTATGAACCCCGGGCACAGGGCACCTCCCAGTTCACTATTCTTTGCCTTGGGGGTACCTATCTTGCGCACCCCAGGGGTGGCAACTGGAGAATGAGATGGTGAACCAAGATCAGAAGAGCCAGGGACGTAGTTGAACCTTCATCCCACCCCAAGAAAGATTCTGAGCCCAGAGAGTAGACCTCAGCCTTTCCTGGGTGGAAAAAAGAGTTTGTACTATCTGGAGGAAGAACTCAGAGGTGGGGAAAAGGAGCGCTGCCGAGGGGCTCCCTCCAGCCGGGCCTAGTCTTTGTCCCGCCAGCAGGTCTTGCACTTCACCACTGGACAGATATGCTTAAACCTCACTGCCCACCGAGGATATAAGAGTGAGTCAGAGCAGCAACAGGCACTGGTCCCCAGGAAGGGCAGGCAGGGGCGAGGGGTGTTGGCAGCTCTGTAGTGTGGTCACCCCAAGGGTGACCTGTGAGTGTGTGAGTCCACCCTGAGGCTGGGCTGGTCCCTGGCCACTCCCCTCCCCAGCTGAACCCTATGAACCATCTCAGAGGTGCAGGGGATGCTAAGACCAGAGGTGGAGCCCAGATCTCCTAGGAGAAGCCTGGCTTTGGGGGTGCTCTGTAAATGGCTGGAATGGAATCCTTCCTTTTTAAGAAAAGTGGTCACTCCCTCCTTCATGCTTTGGATATTTTGAACTATTTTCAACCAAGTGAATTTGTGGACACGGGAACTGAAAAACCACAGCCATTTCAGAAGTGCACACACCCTCATCTGCCTGGGAGCCTGGGTTTCAGAAACGGGCCAGCACTACCGTTAATAGAATCCCAATGGCTTCCAAATCAGTTCATGGGTCTGCCTGGTAGTCTGGCCCCTTCTGGATCATCCCTCTGCGTCTGCCCCATTTGAGGGTTGGGGGATCCAGTCTCTAAGAAACTCAACCCAACAGCACAGTACCCTGGGAAGATGCCAGTCTCTGGGAAAGCCTCCAACCAGGACACAGCATTATTCTCCAGTGTTTTTATAAAAAGCACCTGGTGAGTATAGACACACCCATCTGATTGTTCTCCCCCAGAGCTGGCGTGAAGTTCTACCAGATTAGTACAGGGTTGGCTTAGTGTGCAGTATGTGTTCCTGTGCAAGCGGAGCTGAGCACACTTGTGCTTGTTTCCTGGGGGAGCCCAGTTAGGGTGCAGAACTGACCAAAATGCTGCTGATTGGAAATCCAAAGACAATATGGCTGTGGGGCCAGGATGGTGAACCAAGGTCAGAAAAGCCAGAGACATGGCTTAACCCTCATCCCCACCCCAAGAAAGATTCTAAGTGCAGAGAGCAGATCTCTCAGCCTTTGCTGGATGGAAAAAATAGTTCGCACTATCTGGAGGAAGAACTCAGAAGTGGGGAAAAGGAGCGCTGCCCAGGGGCTCCCTCCAGTCAGGCCCATTTTCTCCCAGTGCCAGAAAACGACTTGGCTCCAGAGCCCACGTCCCCCATCCCTATGCCTCTGGGGTCTCCCTTTGCCATAACCCCTTGGCCCACAACACCATAGAAACTGCCCATACACCCCCAGCTCCCTCGGGACAGTCAGCCTGGGCATGGCTACAGTCCCAGCAGGAGGTCCACCCCTGTACCTAGCCTGCTGTTCTAACTGTACATCACTCATTTCCTCCTCTTCGTCTGTGCTCAGAGGAGATGGGAAACAGTAGCGTGTTTCTCTTCCCATTGTAACTCTGCAAATTTAAGGATGACCCAGCTGCCACCTGGCCTCCTCTTTGAATTTAACCATCTTACCCCCCTTAGTCACCACACACACACACACACACACACACACACACACACACGCATGCATCCTTTGATCACTACTCTCACTGTGCCCCATCTGGGGCGCTGGGATTTTCATAAGGCCAAACAGCTAACCCCGTCTCCCACAGACTCAGGCTGGACAGTCACTAAGCAGATAAAATGAGCAGTTGCCAGGTAAGGAAAATGAGTTTAAAACTGACCAGAGAAAAGCCTTGTAGCAGTGCACCTGAACAAAGTCTCCAGAGCAGGCAGGACGGCTGGACGCCAAGGGGTTGCTGCCCACGAGTGCAGTGCAAGACCTGTAATGAGCTGGACAGTGCTCCCCAAATGATAAGCCCACAGGACCCTCAGAATGCGCTCCGACTGGGAATGAGTCTCCACAGGTACAATGAAAGCAAGGATTTCAAGAAGAAGTCATCCTGGATTAAGTGGGCCCTAAACCCAGTGACAAGCGTCCTTCGAAAAGAAGGTGCAGAGACAAAGAGAAAAAGGTCACATGAAATAGGAAGCAGAGCCGGCATGATGGAGACACAGCCAAGCATCCCCTGGAGACATCAGAAGCTTGCCAGACTAGAATGGTCCATCCCCTCCCATCTTCCAGGGGGAGCCGCTGGCCCCGCTGAGGCCATGGTTTCAGACTTCCGGCCCTCAGAACTGCCAGTGCACCTGGCCAGTGTGAAGCAGTTTTTACAGCAGCCATGGGACACTAACACAGACCCTGTAAAGGCTGATCACAGAGTTCAGTGTGTGGTCCAGCAAGAAGAGTCGCCATTACTGCCTCTCAGAATACACCCTCTGCTTCAGAGACACTTAGCCCACCATTCTTTATACTTTCAGAAACAGTTCTAGAAGTCTTCTTTTGTGAGTCTTGACTTATTAATATACCTTTGGATTGGTCTGGTCTTGTTTTGTTTTTGGAGACAGGATCTCGCTACATAATTCAGGCTGGCCTTGAATTGACTATGTAGCCAGGCTCACATCAGTCCTCCCGCCTCAGCCCCCAAAGTGCTGGATGGCAAGTGTGCATGACACACCTGGCCTTTCCTGAATCTTTAATTGCATTGTTGTGTCTCTCTTGATGTCTAAGCCAATTGAAAACATTTAACTTTCATGGTCATTTTGATCTGGGGGAAGAGCCTAAAGTCACACAGTGCCACATGTGCGACTAAGGTAGAGAGCACGCCGTCATGCTTTTATGGGCCTGCCTTTCTGTTGGATGGCACCAGCAGCAGGAATCCCCAGATGTAGGATGATGCCTTGTGAAGACTTTCATGAAAGAGGGCTTGCAGAACACCCTCCAAAAGTGGCAAAGCCGATGGGATAAGTGTGTTGGGGGGGGGGCTAATGGCACTGCATCTTGTACTGTAATAAATGTTTTTAATTGAAATAGTCACCATATGTGTTGAGTTACTCCGTTCGGTCAAGGACTTCCCATCTCTAAGAAGTCACCTGTCGTCAGTGCCTAGCTCTACTAGACAGATGTATGACCTGATTGATTGAGAGAGGAGGCCTTAGACTGCAAGTTTAGTAGAAAAGCTCAGGCAGAGTAGGAAAGAGGTGCAGCAGGAAGCCCTATCTAGGCCTTTCTGGAAAGGTGGGCAACCAGGCCCGAGGAGAGAGCCCCAGGTCCAGCATGGAAAAGAGGGTGGAGGAAAAGCTGGGTGGAAACAGCTGTGTGGCCTGTGCCTCGGTATCCATGACCCTGGGGCGGACGCACAGGTACAGCCCTCTGTGGAGAAGCTGAGCTGGCCGGGAAGCAACCAAGCAATACCTGGAAACAGGGAGGCCAGTGGCTCCGAGCCCACTGTACCTTTGGACAGGACACTCATCAGGAACAGGGTCTGTCTCCCCATAGACCAAGGCTTCTTCCAGATAGGACCATCTGGGCATCTCTGAGGGCAGAGGCTGGGATCCATCCGCAGCTTGGCTGGCCACAGCCCCTGGGCTCCTCAGCCCATCTGAGCATGGACGCCCTTGTCCACCTGGCGCCCACGTGGAATATGCGCAAGTCGCTCCTTCACGCTCTTTCGCTCACCTTCAACGTCCCAGCTGCTACCTCCCATGGGTCTGTAGTTCCTCCTTCAGTAGTTGGCTCTCCAGGGTTTAAACACTGGGGCCTAAAGGACAGCTCCTGGCACGCAGCTGTGGCCTGGTCCCTCAGGGGAAACTCCCCAAGTTCTAGATACCAGCGTGATCTCCGTGACACATGCAGTAGCCACCAATAGAGAGTTTCCACACATAGGCACAGGCTCAGACACACACAGTAGGTGTAACACTGTGCGCAGGAGCGCTTGGCGGGCT